GCGGTGTACATGTGTGTTGCAGAGGAGCATTTGCACGGCATTTGCAGGAAATTGTCGGCAATAATAGGCGAAAGAGAGGCGAGAAAGATTAAGACTAATTTGGTAGTAAATAGATTTCGTATTTATTTAGCATTATATTTTATTGAAACGCTCCAAGTGCCTGTGATCGCGGAGAGCCACCCACGACTACGAGCCCGAGTCAGCAGCAACAGGAACCGGGAAGACACCGAGAAGGTATACCTAATAATAAGGGGGTATTAAGCTTCTATCAACGCGAACGAGGAGCCACGCTTCTATCAACTCGAGCCGAGCCGCGGCCACCCCGACGAGGAGCGACGACGAGGAGCGACGACGAGGGCTTTACAATACATTAGAATCGAAAATAGCTAAGATAAACGCGTATAGTTAAAGTAAGCAATGTACACGTTACCTAAGGCTATCTATATATGGGGTGATACTCCATTAGGAGTAAAATCTTTAATCCATTAATGGTTAGGGTTATGTTATAGGTTAGGGTTAGGGTTAGGGTTAGGATTATCAATCATTAATCATTAATCATTAATCATTAATGATATCAAAGTTGGGAACACTCCTAATGGAGCGTTAGCCTATATATGCTATATCTGAGATACATGCACTCAGTGCATGTGTAACATATGTTTTACAAATGTTGCATGAATTAGTCAGCGGAGCTATAGACTAGGGGTTGTTTTAGTAATAATCTATCTAGACACAGCGTCGCGCATCTTTTTGCGGGCGTTTCTAGGGTCATTGTGAAATGGAGGTAGGGCGCGGTCTGGGAGAACGGGTGACATGTGCGCTCAGGATGTATGGGTTTTGGGGGTAATATATAGAAGAGAGATTAGAGAGACGGGGGAAGACAGAGAGGTAGGAGTGGAGGAGTCTGGGTCGGGAGAGTAAGCACACGCGTGTGCGCGTTTCTTTGTCTCTTTGTGCAAGATGGACACGCAAGTGTGCGAGCATATATTAAAGTTTATTCAGGTTACCACACAAGTTTGGATTTCTTCTTCATCATTTCTACATCGAACATTAATTCAACGTTACACATGTTGTCCGTATAAGGTGAATAAAGTTATTCATTGCATAAATTAAGACACTATAAGGACTTTTCATTATAAGTTTTATTTCACTCTGGGGTTATTGCTACTGAATCA